ATGTTTAATTTTAAACTTTTGTTTCAAACTAAGCCGGGTTCCATGGATTATAGGTACGGAGAGACTAATCGTACTCTGAGCACCTTTGAAACTTGCATTTTTTACTTGAAGACCAGCTATCTTCTCTTCCACCAAAATTTCACCAAACATTTCGACTTTCTTGGAATCTTTCAGGAACTTGCAGAAAAATTGATGTATTGTGATGCCAAATTTGTAATTTTCAGCGGAAATTGCAGTCATATTTATATTTTTTATTTCTTCTTGGACTCTGTCGTTACACTGCCGTGTTGCAAGAAAAAGATGCTGATCCGAAGATCTTAGCTTCATTTGTATGATGAAATCATTAAGTGTCCGGAGTTCTCTGTGTGCTTTTTTGAATTGTTTCATCACTGTTGTGTTTTTTGTTTTGCATATGTCGTACTTCGATTCTAGTTCACTCAGTGATTTCTTTTCTATTTCGTCTAAGCGCTTATTGATATGTTCTCTTGTATTACGAATAACTATTTTAATGTTTTCTTTTTCTTTTTGTATATTTTCTTGTTCTGTCTCCCTATCATGAATTAACTGTTCGATGTTTTCTAAGCTTTCTATGATTGTCTCCTCCAAATCAGCTAGAGCTGTTGATTGGGTAGTATTTTTGGCCGCTTCTTCTATTGAAATAAGTTCTGAACAGTTTTGATGGAGGGCATTAATTTTGAGGCAAGCATCACATATAGTCATGTCATGTATTTTGCAATATTTAATTAGTGTCCTACTGTGTTCAATACAGCTCTGACTTACATGGAATTTGGACATCTTCAACTGAAATAGAGAAAGTACAAATGGGCTACTTCTTAAAGACGGGTAATCACAATTTATTTTAAAGTCTTTTCCTGCAATCTTCGAAATTATACTATACAATGTAGAAGCATAAAATATCAGACAAAGAAAAATAAGGACAACATGTAAAATAATAATAATAAAAGACCAACGGCCTGATTTATGTCCATGTGTTCATCTCTTAATGCATTCTTTTATTATTGATTTGTAACTGTCTAATTGACATATATACAGCAATTAATTGCAATAATATTTTAGCAGTTATAACTTACTATATATAGCCCTTTTGAATATCTAATTTAAGAACGGAATAATTAATAATTTAATATATACATTTCAAACCTGCAAATCATTTCACAAGAAGAGGTAGCTTTTAACCCTTTATAGATACACAAAATATTGACATCAACACAATAAGTCATTATCGATATGTTTTAAAATTTGGAACGATGATAAGAAAAAATACGTCATTTAACCTGATAACGCATTTTCGTCCAATAACTTCATTCATTTATTTATATATATTAATGTTACACACCATTATACAAAACAAAGGAGATGACAAGACAATTTAAAAGCCATTATTTAGCACTGAGATTGAAATTATACAATGTGTATCAATATTTTTTTTCTAAATGCTTAGGTTGAAATATATCTTCCCATTTTCATAAGCAGGGCTTACTATGGACACTTTAATTCCCCCAAAAAAGTAACGTGTGATTTAATGAAAATGTCGAAATGAACTAAATATTTTCTCATAGTTTATGACAAAATTAGGTCTGTTCCGATACTTTACCATTTAAGACATTTTATAAAATTTTACAAATAATATATTCTTTTTTGTATGAATTTTGCGAGTGACAAGATATCACAATTTTACATTAAATTAGAATCGTTATACAAATCAGATAGACGTAATTTAAAAATATAAGTTCTGATATTTGACCGATTAATTATAGTGTCGTACGAACACATCAAAGATGTCATTTGGTCGATCTTTAATACTTTTTATTTATAAACAGCCTTCCCAAAACCTTCTCCTTAAAAATTAAATCTTGTCATGAACAATTGAAAAACATGAAGGCCGTACCTTGTCCTATAATAGTTTACTTTTATAAATTGTAACTTGGATGGAGAGTTGTCTCATTGACACTCATACCACATCTTCCTATATCTATGTACTAATAACTTGCAATATCTAAAGGTCTAAACACTAATCAGTTGTGCATTTTATCCCTTTTTCGTATTTGTTTTTCTGTTTAAAAAAAACAATTAAATTATGAAAAAAAACTTACTGAATTTTTTGGATCGATGTTTTCAAGTCCGACCTATTGGTGAATTTCTACTGGTTTTTCAACTGGTTGTTTCTTTACAACCTTAATATGTTATATAGATTTTATTCAGTCAACGTAAAAAACAATCGTTAAATGATTCAAAGTATAAAGTAAAGTTTTGTGATAAAAAGAATTTCAACTTGATGATATCGAAAATTTAATCTCCTCAAACAATTTAATATCATAGTGTTTTGATAACAACGTTATGTTATCATCTATCAAAGAACTTCAGATAAACCATATCTTTGACAGAAACATTCTCTTATTACTAGAAAAACATTCACAGTAGGGATATAGATATGGTGGCCTGTTTCCCATTGAGACAACTATTCATCAGAGACCAAACGATGCAAACAATACAAAGTGGCCTTTTTCATCCATATTTTAACAGTATTATTGTTTATGATGTAACCAAACTTAGAAAATGACCTCAAATTTTGCCAAGTTGGCTTATTCATGCAGAAGGTTAAGGTTATACTGTGAAAGTTCAATCATTACGTGTCAATTGTTTTTTATATAAATATAATTACGATAATGTACAGTTGCAAGCAATGATAAAACATTTCTTTTGTTTTTCTGCATACTAAGTATAAAAATAAGTAGTAAAAAATTGAAAACAACATGTTTAATAATTTCATGCGTCCGAAGCGCTTTTCTGGATTTACCTTCATCAGGAACGCTCAAAGCCAAACATTTAAAATCCGAGGGATGTATAAGTACCGAAACAGTTGAAGAGCTATATGACAAAAATACATACAACAAATAGCCAAATTCATCTAAGGTCAACTTTGCCTGAGGGAGTTGAAACCTTAGTTTATTTATAATTTCAAAATTTATCAACGAACAATTTTAGAAAGGTTTGTTATAAATCATGTCAGTACCGAAGTACTGACTACTGAGCTGATGATACCCTCGGGGACTGATAGTCCACCAGCAGAGGTATCGACCCAGTGATGTAAAAAATTGAAAACAACACGTTTAATAATTTCATGCGTCCGAAGATTGCCAATAAGACAACTATCCATTAGTGTTCAAATGACGTGGATGGAATTATTTTTGGATTACAGTAAGTCCATCAACAATAAGCAAAACTAATACATCACAGTTAGCTATTAAAGATCCCTACATGACAAAATGTCAAACAATTTAAACAAGGAACAATTGCCATAATTTATAACAACACAATTATCGGAAAACAAATTTAACAGGATGACATAACAAGACGGGTTTCCTCGTTGAAAGGTGACATTCAAGGCAGGTTTAACTGTGTGAAATGCTATAGATGAGTGTATGTAAAAAAGCATAACAAAAATACCGATCTCCAATGCAAATGTGTGTGTATTGTCATAACGTATGCGATTACAATGCCTTGTTTACACTTCTTAATAAAGAGAATCCAATGTAACAAATAATCACCATGATATACAAATAAAATACTTCTTGAGAAAGAAATAAATATATTGAAATAACAGAGATCTAATTAACGCATGTCTCTACCTGCACACAATTTTGCTTATAACTTCGTAACATCTCCATCGAATCGGATTATATGTAGTAACTTGCGGATATTAATGTTTGAACACTTTTCCAATAATATTTATTTTATTATCAGTTTTGTATATTTAAAGAACATAGAAAAATGTGAAACATACCGATAAAATCTGGACATGAAGCTCTTGATAAAAATAAAAAAAGAGGTTAAATAATTAAAAGTACGCCAGTTTTGCTGAAAGATTATATCCTCATTTTCGTTTTAATATGTCTACCAATTCTTCGAAAGATTATTTACAACAGAAAAACTTGGCATCGTTCAAGGAAGTGTCATAACAAACATTCAATACAACAAACCCTTGTCTTGGTTGAATACTATTACCTTGTCCACATATGACATATTCTTTACAACTACTGTGACCACAAAGACCAAAATCCTGAATCTCCAACTAATATGCCTTCGAAATAACTGTTGATGTTTCAATATATGTACCGGAAGAGGAAGGTATGGATAATGCTACATTTATTTGAAAATCAAAAAACTTTATAAATCTATCAAATAACATCGATCTAACGTATTCTTGTTAGCGCATCAAAATTCTTGCATTAAATACAAATAGGCAAGCACTGACAATATTTTCTCATTTTGAGATCTATTCTTTAATATCTATAATTGGTGCAAGTACTTAAAACGATATATTGCTTAAAGATGTCTAAACCAACGATGTGAATGTGGATAACAGATCTTCTTTAAGAAGTCTTAGCTCTCGACTAATTTTACCAAATATAACTGGATTGCTATTTTAGGCCAAATACGTCTATTTCAACATGTTTATGACTTCAAAGTGATATCACAATTTGTATATCATAATATAGCTAAAGTGTCCACATATCATCTTATTAATTCATCAATTCAACTATACAATTTTAAAAGAATTGAAGAATTTTACTTTTTTGTGTTTCTAGGGGTCAAATAATATATTTTCATATACCGTATCCTTTATCAATATGAAATTATTCCTTTTGTTGTTTCAGTAATTGTAGGTTTGTTCTAAAGATATGATATATTTGCAAAAGTGTTGTCACTTAGTATTTTACATATTGATAAACTTAAAGCATATTTTCTATTCATAATTGCACATCCTCAAATATCATCCGCATTTTAGTTTCATTTTTCGTCTATTTTCTGTAAATAGAATTTTGCCTTTTACATGTTTTTATTCAAACGTTATGCTTTTCTTTTAGTTATCCCTCAAATTGTTATTTTCTGGGTTTTGCTAATTACTGTCTTTCCAAACTTTTTTTTTGATATTTATTTTCAAAAGAAAAAAAAATAAAGCATTTGAATAACACATTTTAATAATAACCTATCTCTGTATCAGTATCTTCAGCCGAAAATCTGTTCGGCATTAACAAAATCTGTAGCTCTGAAAATAAAATAATGATTGCCATTATGATTCCTATAAAGTGTACCATAGGCTTTGTTCCATGGGATCATGTCCTGTCCCTCCTATACCATAACTGGCTTGTTGGAAATACTTAAGATACAATCAAATTCATAATTCGATGAGAGACCGAGAAAACCATACCGAAAAACGAAATAGTCGAAATGTCAAACAACTGTCTACAAAATAATACAAGGAAATCGGAAGACAGAGCAAAACGAACCCCAGTTAATACCGTGGGGGTTCTCAGGAGCCTTGGGAGAGTACGCAGATCCTTCTCCACATGTGGCACCAATTGGGTTGCTCATGATAAGTACATATTGGGTCATAAGTCTCATTCGGTAAGTTCACAATCAAAGAAAAGCAGAAGGATTTCGCTTCTATAATTGGAACATATATGTTGTCATCTATGACACAGATATTCCATAACGGTCAACCGACTCATGATAGCGTGCATAAAACCTTCGAAGGGATGATCTTAACTAAACCATGTGGAACCCTGGGATTAATAGCCTCCTTGTAATCGGCGATCCTCAATCATTGGAATCATGATAGAAAACGATAGCTCTGCAATATCATATTAACTAAGAGATATATACTCCATAGAAATATGCAGACGCTTCTAGAGTTTTGCTATATGGAAATGGAAAGCACACAATTGGAAGCTGAAATAATCACAACAGATCAGTTTTCCAAGATTGATTTCGTTATTTATAAAATAAAATATAATTAATTATGAATTGCTATATAATTATGACCACTTATAGTCATACATCCTATCGATATATTTTTGTCATTAAACAAGGTTATGCTTTTCTCAGACTGTAAACACATCTTTTCACTTAATCCAATGGATTTGTACTGCTTTTCGTTTAGTTTTATATTGTGCCAGGTTAAAAGGGCTTGAGCACTCACACATATATTTTAATCTGTCATATTTTTATGCGTTTGTTCCAAGGCAGTAGCCTGTATTTGAGTAGTTGTCGTTGGTTGCTATTTGCCATACAGGTATTTTTTTATTATCATTGTTGTCTATTATAAATCAGACAGTTGTGTTTTCGTTTGTAATGTTTTACATAATCTTATATCGGGACCTTTTATAATATACAAACGGTATAGGATTTGTTCATTATTGACGGCGCACGGGGACCTACTGATGCTTGCACCCACGTCATTTGGTCTCTAGGTGGATAGTTGTCTCATTAACAAGCATACCACATTTCCTTATTTTTACAAAACAAGTTTTCTTAAAATCTTACTCTTTATTATCGTTAAAAAAATCGCAGCACATAGATGCTTCAAAGGATACCGTAATTTTGATTGACAAAACAACAATAGCAGGCATTCCAAAATAATTTCCTAATCAAATATAATGAATCATAGACATGTGCTATGCCGCGTGCTCTTACACGTGCAATTCTCGACAACGTTAACGTTACTTCAATACACAGGAAAACAATGCTTATTTTTGTAATTGTATAAAGGTGTACTAGGGTTGACCGTGCGCTCCTTTTGATAATTGTATAAAGATGTACTAGGGTTGATCGTGCGCTCCTTTTGGTACTTGTATAAAGGTGTAAAAGGGTTGATCATGCGCTCTTTTGATAATTGTATAAAGATGTACTAGGGTTGATCGTGCGCTCCTTTTGGTAATTGTATAAAGGTGTAAAAGGGTTGATCGTGTGGTCTTTGTGGTAATTGTATAAAGGTGTAAAAGGGTGGCTCGTGTATTCTGTTTGGTAGTTGTATAAAGGTGTAAAAGGTTTGATCGTGTGGTCTGTTTGGTAATTGTATAAAGGTGTAAAAGGGTTGATCGTGCACTCTTTTTGGTAATCGTATAAAGGTGCGAAAGGGTTGGTCGTCTGCTCTTTTGGTAATTGTATAAAGGTGTAAACGGGTTGGTCGTGTGCTCTTTTTGGTAATTGTATAAAGGTGTGAACGGGTTGGTCGTGTGCTCTTTTTGTAATTGTATACAGGTGTAAAAGGGTTGATCGTGCACTTTTTTTGGTAATGTATAAAGGTGCGAAAGGGTTGTTCGTGTGCTCTTTTGGTAATTGTATAAAGGCGTAAAAGGGTTGTTCGTGTGGTCTGTTTGGTAATTGTATAAAGGTCTGTTTGATAATTGTACAAAGGTATGAAAGGGTTGGCCTTGTGCTCTTTTGGTAATTGAATAAAGGTGTAAAAGGGTTGGTCGTGTGCTCTTTTTTTGTTATGTATAAAGGTGTGAAAGGGTTGGTCGTGCGCTCCTTTTGGTAATTGTATAAAGTTGTAAAAGGGTTGGTCGTGTGCTCTTTTTGGTAATTGTTAAAGGTGTGAAAGGGTTGGTCGTGTGCTCTTTTGGTAATTGTATAAAGTGTAAATGAAAATAGAACTTTATTAAAAGCGTTCATCCTGCACATACTTTGCAAACTGTGCTTCGTTCAACGCATTACATCCCAAATAAAATTACGTAAAGAAGCATGCAATTCTTAATTAAACGATACCAAAGGTATATATCCTTGATAAAAAATTGACACTGCGTATCTGTGTACCATTAAAAGGAAATTACTCATACTTGCATTTAGATAAACAATACATGCTGTAACTGACCTTCAATTATTTTTTCTATTGAAACAACATGAGATTATGGAATTTGTCGGTTATGTTTAAAGCCGAATTTTCTGCGGGTGTACGTTCAATGATTTTTTTCTCTCGAAGAATAGTTTTCCTATTCATTTTTACACTTCTGAAATGGGGGATGGTCATTACATATAAAAAATTTGTAGGCAGATACGTGAAATGGGTTTTATTCATTCACACGAGCAAACCTCCCTAATTACGAATTATATCCACTTTATGATAAAGCAAAATTAAATCGAAAAACATTTGAAGATCGACAAAAAAACGAAGTATTAACCAATGTATAAAAAGGAACAACAAGAAATGGTCAAGATAGCCTGTTATGACACAGACACATGATGCGGTGTTGATAAACCAGTTTTACGCGCACACAAACATCCCCTTTGCCTATCTAAAATGCAACTAAAAACCGAAACCGTGCGCTATCACTAATTTAAGTAATGGAAAAATGATGACGGCTTATAATTTGGAAAGCAGGTTCATTTATCATCTTTAAGATCTTTTAACCATAAAAATGTAATGTTTAGCTGTTTTAATTTTCTTTGGGTGTAAGCGTTCCTGGTGAAGGTTAATCCAGAAAAACGCTATGGACGCAACAAGTTTAAAAAGTATTATTTTCATGTTTTTCAAATAAACCAAATCATTTCAAGTTTTGTCTAATTTTAAAAGTCCTTGTTGTGTGTTAACATCTTACATCTGAAACTTACTGTTTTTCACAAATGAAATGGACATTTCTATCGTAACAATCGTTGTCGGTCCAATTCAGGTTATCACCATCCAAATAACACATCAAGCAGTTCTTTTTTATAGAAAGTGACGCATTATTATCTGGTTTACCTGGTCCCCAGGCTGTGTAACCTTTTTGTGCGGTACCACTCTCTACCCAAAGCCATTGCCCTTCAAAAACTAGATCTGTTGCTCCAATGAAAAAGTTTCTGAAACCTTCTCCTGTAAGTTAAAGACATTTTCTGCTGCTGCATATGAAATTGAAATACTCATTTGTCAATAATTCATGAAACACATTTAGTCGGAAGAGTTAAATAACATATTTCTACATCATTGATCTTTGATGGATAGTTGTCTCATTAGATCATACCAGATCTTCTGAGTTTTATATTTCTATATAACAGAGAGCGGCGTCCTCAATGCTTTTAACTTGGTACGCATGTTTTACCCTAGAATATTATCATTATACAGTTGGGTCAGTTCTAACCTCTTTTGAAATTTTTCTGAAACTTGGAGGAGAAATGTTCTAGAACCACCATAGAACTGTTCTCGCATACGCTGTTCTGTCATAGAACAGTTTTGGACAGTTCTAAGAACAGCATCGGGTAAACATATTCAGCTTTAATAAAAATGTAAAGTTGACTCACCAGTTAAACTGTCATAAACTGTTCTAGTTTGTATTGTCGAAAACTGTTATAAACTATAACCGTTTCTGACAGTTCTAGTGTCATTAGAACAGCTATAAAACCGATTATACCAGTTATGAAGAGAGGTAAGAACCGATCCCGAATGTGTAATGTAAAAAATATTATTCGTGATGTTATTTTGAATATCAACAGCTAACTTTTTTCAAGCAGTATGCTTTGTGTCAACCAAAAATCGTTTTATCTAACATAAAACCACATCATAAACAAACTAAAAATAAACTTAATTTGTTGTTGTTATGATATTAAAAAAAAAACAACATTGAAGCAACGGTTGTCTATGATAGTTCCTTTAATGTGTCCACGTCTACCTATCTTTTTTGTTTGGAAGCCGCCTCATTGACTTATGCCTCATATCTCTGTTTACTTATATTTTACTAACCATCTAAGATACTGAGAATTTTTTTCATAAATGAATGTTTTTCTGCACTGTCATCTGTCGCTAAATAGGCCTGATGAGATCTACAGGTGTCCTAATAACAAAATGTAAATATATTGTAGAAAAAATACAACATTCTATTCACTTACACATTTGTCATGTTAACGACTTTTTTTCAAACTCCATTGTTGACATCTCATTGAATTTGATCATGACTAGCTCCATTGATTTAATAAATGAGTTTTAATGAGTTTTATGGTTGTGAATCACAGTTTATGACCAAACAAAGAAAAGACCCTTCTAAATATCATTCTATCAATGATAAATCCAACTGTTATCTTTATGAAATTTTTCGTTAAATAATAAAGAATTTTCAAACTATACTGCCGAAATTTACCCGAATGAACTAACTTTGAATAGATAACACATTAAAACCGATAACTAACACAGGCCTACAGCCTATGTTGATACCTATATATTGCACTGCACAAGATCATGATTTTCTCTGACTGATAATGACGTCTTTGCAATAAATCCATTGGATGTTGGATGTGTACTAAATAATACTTTAGTCTTATATACCTGATTTGCTTTGAACTACCGTTCAGTTATCCATTCATTTGATGTGTTTGAGCTTTGCCATTTGCTTGGGACTTTCCGTTTAGAAGTTTCCCCGGAGTTCGGTATTTTTGTTATTTTACTTTTCAGTAACAATGAGTACTGCCAAATTAATATTTTGTGTCCTTAGATTTTTTGTTAGCTGTTTTTGTGCTTGGTATCGATCTTATTAGTTTGTCCCTTTTCAATTTATTTCTACAGTTTGTTCTTACGTAGTTCTATAACACCACTGTCCAAAGTTAAAGAGATGATTAGGCGCCCTCAAACATGCTTGACCCCGCCACATTCTGTATGTGCCTATCCCAAGTCAGGAGCCTGTAATTTAGTGGTTCACGTTTATTGTTGTGTACATAAATCAGCCTGCTAGTTTGTTCGTTTGAATGGTTTCATATTGGTCATTTAGGGGCATTTTAACGATTTCTTGCCGGTATGGGTTTTGTCCTTTGTGAAAGGCATTGCAGTGACTTATAATTACAAGATTCTCCGTAATTTGGTCATCTCATTGGCGATCATATCACATCTTCTTATTCTTATATTAATAATTAACATTCACACATTTGATGATTTTGACCCTTTATCCTTACATGTGGAAATTTGAAAACAGTGTCGACGAGGAAATGCCTATCCTTTTGGAGTTCCACAGTACAACTAAGGTTTTGTTTTGCTATGTTTAGTGTAGTTTCCTTTTTTGTTTCCTTTCAATTTGTCTTCTTTTCATTTCCGTTTTTCTTTCTTTATTGGTATCTCCAAACTTCTCATTAATTTAAAGAGATTTTGCTCTATCTTTTTTATGATAAATTCTTAAGTTTTTCAAATATGATGCTGCAGTAAAATGCAATGTCTCCCTTACTCTATCAATACCTACCGCTAGTTCAGTATTAAAAAAATTAGAGCTATTTTCGTGAGACCAGTTGCATATTTTGACAGTTTAAGTTGGAACAATTAAGGAAAGTTTTTTTTGGGGTAAAACAAATTATAAGTACAAGAACGGTTTAATAAATTATCCTTCTCTAGAAGAAGTCAGTTTGATTTTGCAAACATTTTTTTTATTTAAACTTCGCTTATACAAATTTGACTTGCAAGAAAACAATTCGACGTCATTTTGTTGTCGAGTCATGCCTATGCTATCTTTTATATGAATTTAGTTAGAAATTCTGCATGTGCTCAGCAAGTTCGGTTAATGTCAAAGTCCATCAGGAAGACCGATATCGCTAACTATTCAGACAGATTTGTTTTTTATAATGGTTTAAGGTAAAACGATGATATCGATGACACATAATCTTCAAATGTCATGTTGATGGTTTATTAATACCCTGGAACTGGAAAGATTTTGTGATATTTTTTGTATGTCTTCATGCACTTATTTTATGTTTCCTGTTATACATCTAGTTTTAAAGTATGAAATCGTTCAAATTATAATGGCATATTGTTATTCTAAACTGTTTCCCAAAATTGATCGCCCTGAAGATCATAAAAAACATTTTATTAAAATAAAGTATGTCAATAAAGGTTTTGATTTTGTAAATATTGCCGGTATTTTTAACGACCATTCTGTTAAAGAACAAATTCCTGGATATTTTGATAATACTGAACTCCCTCTTATTTGTTATATTTACAAGAAATCTACCCGGAAATTTGTGTTTAATTATAGCCAAGTCTGTAAAGATGTAAATATCAGTGAAAATACACCTACGTCATGTAATTGTAGTAATTCCGAATACACATATGGCCCCATTTCCCATGTTATAACAGGAGACCTTAACATCGTTCGCGACCGAGAGTTAAAATCATTCCTCAGTAAAGGACCTAAATATCGCCCCCCCCCCCCCCCGTCAATTATTAATTGGAATGAGTGTCGTAATATCATTCACAACTCACTTCGTGCTTACTGTTTGAAATGGATAAAACGGGAAAAAGCTGACAAAAAATCTTTGGACTCTTTTTTTAATTCAGTAATGAAGATAGTTGATATACGTATACAACATTTTAAAGAACATTTTACTCTTAACAACAACCATAAAAATCCTATTTCTCGTATCAAACATAAACTAAAAGAACTAGCCAAGGAATTTGTTTTTGTCCCGGCTGATAAAGCTGCTAATAATATCTGCTAATAATATCATTATAGTTTGACGTAAATTTTACATTGAGGTTCTGCAAAAGGAAATCACGAATTCAACAACATTCCAACTGACTTCATTTTCAGAAAACGATATCTGTAACAAACATAAACTATTAGCTACTTCTTTACAAGCAGAACCAAATACAATGAAAGTCCCAACTATGCACTGGCTTCCAAAGCTACACAAATCACCTTACAAATATAGATTTATTTCGTCTTCAGGTCATTGTTCCACTACTAAATTGTCTATTCTACTTACTAGTACACTTGGTACAATCAAAAACCTGATAATAAATTGTTCTAATAAGGCCTTTGAAAATAGTGGAATTAATTACTTTTGGAGTGTCAAAAACTCATTGGAAGTACTTGATAAATTACATGCATATATTGGTGATTTTGAATCTGTTCAAAGTTTTGATTTTTCTACCCTATATACCACTTTGCCTCATATTCTTATTAAGAAAAAATTCACACACCTAATTAAATGGGCATTTAAAAAGTCGGAATGCGAATACATATGTTCAAACTCTTTTAGGTCATTTTTTAGGAGCAACAAACAAAAGAACTATGTCAATTGGACATGCTTTGATACTATATCTGCCCTTGAATTTTTACTTGATAACATTTTTGTTCGCTTTGGAGATTCCGTATATCGTCAAGTTATCGGAATTCCAATGGGGACCAACTGTGCACCACTTATTGCGGACCTGTTTTTGTATTGTTATGAGTTACAATTTATGATTAAAATCAGCAACGACCCATCGAAACAACATCTGATACAAAAATTTAACAATACTTTTAGATATTTGGATGATATATTGGCTCTCAATAATGACGACTTCAGTATGTATACTAAAGAAATTTATCCTGTTGAACTTACTTTAAATAAAGCTAATACTAACAATGACCACTGTCCTTTCCTCGATCTTGATATCTATATCATTAACGGGAAGCTTAATACAAAAATTTATGATAAAAGAGATGATTTTTCATTTCCTATCGTTAATTATCCATTTTTAGATGGTGACGTTCCATTGTCACCATCTTATGGTGTTTATATATCTCAACTTGTACGATTCGCTCGTGTATGTAACAACGTATTAGATTTTAGCGAGAGAAATTTATGTATTACTGAAAAATTATTACACCAGGATTTTCGATATCATAAACTAGTCAAAACATTTACTAAATTTTATCATCGGTACAAGGACATCATTCATTAATATAACTCAACATGCAGACATCTTATACGTTCGGGTATTTCACATCCAATCTTTTATGGTAATATTCTTTACAAAGCACAAAAATGTCAGTATTCACCTCAAAAGCTAACAAAACCTTTAAATAGACTTATTAAGAAGGGATATAGTTACGATACTGTTGTCAGGTCATTAAAGATTGCATATTTTGGCTTTAATATTGATTCACTTATAGTGTCTTTGCATCGGAATTAAACACATTTGTTCTAAAACTAGTTGTTGGCATGACACGGGTTATGTTCTTCTCATATATTTTATGACGGTATAATACTAAACCCCTAACAGGAGGGATTGTGCCTGATATTCATATGATGAAGACATAATCTTTCAATCAGTTTAATTGAGGTCTGTAGCTGGCATGTCAGTAACTGCTAGTAGTCTGTTGTTATTTATGTATTATTGTCATTTTGTTTATTTTCTTTTGTTTCCTATTCTGACATCGGACTCGGACTTCTCTTATACTGAGTTTTACTGTGCGTACTGTTGTGCGTTTGTTTTTACTACATTGGCTAGAGGTATAGGGGGAGGGTTGAGATCTCAAAAAACATGTTTAACCCCGCCGCATTTTTGCGCCTGTCCCAAGTCAGGAGCCTCTGGCCTTTGTTAGTCTTGTATTATTTTTAATTTTAGTTTCCTGTGTATAATTTGGAGTTTTGTATGACGTCCATTATCACTGAACTAGTATACATATTTGATAAGGGGCCAGCTGAAGGACGCCTCTGGGTGCGGGAGTTTCTCGCTGCATTGAAGACCCATTGGTGGCCTTCGGCTGTTGTCTGCTCTATGGTCGGGTCGTTGTCTCTTTGACACATTCCCCATTTCCATTCTCAATTTTATTAAAGACAGCATGAATCAGTTCGATGGACAGATAATGTCCCATGAATGCATAAAATACGTGACTACAAATCGTTCCATTTAAATTAATTTAAATTCTATAGAAACTTACATGTGCCTCAAACCAATTTTTCTTTTCAGGACTAAACAAGAGACATTCGCCACGAAATTCTGCCCAGCCCTTAGGACACTTGAAGTTGACGTCACGTGTATTATACCTGAAATATAGCTAAAGTAAAGTCCTATACTAAGATAAAAATATAAACGGGATTAATCCCACCATATTTCGTGCCAGGCTATATGCACCATAAACTGGCCAAAAAACTCACAAAATCAGACGTTTTCAACCAAGGGACCGAGTAAAAAAACAACACCCATGCTCCTAACTTAATACAGGCGATATTAATTTCTATTTCCACCGTTCTTGAATGATATATATATAAGCTGTTAATTGGATCGATGTTATGAGAATTATCGAGAAAAAAAAGCAAAAGAGCAGAAAAACGAACTCCAATGAAAAATCAAAACGGCAAGACCCTTATCAAATGGCAAAATCAAAAGCTCAAACATATCAAACGAATGGAAAACAACTGGCATATTCCTGGCTTAGAACAGGCATATCACAGCGTAACTAAAGGGGCATGAGTTGTGTTTTAGACAAAAATCGAAGTACGATTTTTCTAACTGTTTTGAACATTTATAAAAGTGAAATATTGAAGATGCATAACTCATTATTTTGCATGGAAATAATCGCGACCACAAATTATGATTGTATTATTAACGTATAAAAATATCACATGCTTACTACAACAATATCAACACATATTCCATGACGTTAGTACCTTGAAAAATTGTCTATATCCTATAAACATATACTAGAGACCGACCTTCACATAGATGAACTAAAACTTTGATTATAATTGAGAATGGAAAGGGGGAATGTGTCAATGAGACAACAACCCGACCAATGGAAAGAAAAACAGCGTAAGGCCACCAATGGGTTTATAAACACAGCGAGAAGTCTTTATTTCAAAATGTTTAAGTAAAATTGAGTATAAGCGACAGCTTTGAGCCATCAAATAACATGAACTGCGGATGTAAACTATATTGGTAAGGTACTTACTACATAGATTGCATGTCGCTAGGCAGAACATTTTCAAGCCGCTATTACATGCAGATTGATCGCACATGACACGTGAATCATCCGCACAGGATGGTACAGCTTGTGTTGTAACTGTTGTTCTAGCTTGAATTGTAGTTGGTACTGAAAATATATATATATATATAATAAATCACTTTTTCAAAATGTAGCTATTGTCTTAAGTTGAGATGTGAGTTCACCGATAATTTTGGAGATGTTTAGGTTTTATTAAAGGTTAGATCGAAAGAGACAATTTAGTAATACCTGTTCTCTTTTACTTTGATCTTGTGGAACTTATGAAACTAGTGAATCTGGAACTACTCACCGTTTTGTTTCAGCTTGGTTTGTGGTTTTCATCTTGATTGATTTCTTTGTTGGTGCTTTGTTTGACTACTTTCGTCGAATATATATTTTCGTTTTCCAATTGTATCTTGGTATGTTTTTCGTGTTGTGCAGTTTTGATTTCCGTATATTGTTTTGAGACTGTATTAGTGTCAACTTTGTATATGTATGTGCTTCATTGACACACTTTATTTTGATTGTTCCTTTAGTAAATGTGTATTTATTATTTTTTGCGAATTAAAGAATCGGTATAAAAAGTTGGTTTACAGTCATTCCAAAAAATGCTATCGTTAAAGACTTGACAACGGTTTCGCAATTATATCCTTTGTGGATAAGTCTGTTTATAGGTTTGGTTAGCTTTTGAGGTGAATGACGACATTTTTATGCTTTGTATAGAATATTTCTATAAAAGATGGAATGTAAAATACCTGAACGTATAAGATGTCTGCACTTTGATTAATATTTACGAATGACGAAATCAAATATGTTTTTACATGCACTAGCAAATCGAACAAGTTGAGATATATAAACACCATAAGATGGTGCCAAGGTGACGTCACCTACTAAAAATTGATACTTAACAATATGAAATGGAAAATATTTTTATCGTAAATTTTAGTATTAAGAGTGGTTTTAAAGTTATGCTGAACATGTAGGAACACTTATTACAAGCTGGACATCAATTACTAGTTTTACGGTGTTTAATAGAGCGGGTACATTTTGATGACAACCATGTTATCTAATTGGTCTTTTGAAAAGACTGCTTCTGAAAGGTTTCTGAATTGAATAGTTTTGTTTTACCCTGATTTAATCACATTATCGTCCTTCCCTTAGTCAATGTCACCCAGCTCAGTCGATCCGTAATTCTCGTATCGCGACTTTGAAACGTGAACAGAACTTCTCATGAACGTCACAATTTCTGAGGGCGAGTTATCAGCGACGTCACAATGTATGAGGAGACGTTATCAAGCTTACTTTGGCTAGAACACAACTCTCTAAAGTAGGTGATAGTGACCACTAATAGTAAATTTAATAGATTATCGGACTTTCTGTTTATAACTATGGTTTAATATCAAGGTAGAAATCCGATAAATATATATATATATGTAAAGATAAGAAGATGTGGTATGATGTACAATAAGACAGCTCTATCAGAAAAAAAAAAAGAACAAATATACCGATATCGTATGGGCTTCAAAAATGAGCAGAAGCCATACCTCATAGTTAAAGTAAATCGAAAGATACGAAAGGGACAATCGAAATCATAGGTAAAGGGGAGCGTTGGCGCCTTCAAACTCTCAGGTTAAGGCAGGGTTGGCGCCTTCAAATGAGTTTACCTCCGCCACATTCTGTATGTGTCTGTCCCAAGTCAGGAGTCTGTAATTCAGTGGCTGTCGTTTGTTGCTATGTAACATATTTGTTTTTCGTTTATTATTTTTTACATAAATTAGGCCGTTAGTTTTCTCGTTTGAATTGTTTTATATTTGTCATTACGGTGCCTTTTATGGCTGACTATGCGGTATTGACTTTGCTCATTGTTGAAGGCCGTACAATGACCTATAAGTGTTCATTTCTGTGTCTTTGGTCTCATTGGCGATCATACATTTTCTTATTTTAGTATCATAAGTCGAAAATAAACTGACAACGCTATGGCTAAAAAAGAAAAAGACAAACAGACAAACAGACAAACAATAGTACAAAAACACAACATAGAAAACGAAAGTTTTAAACGAAAATAGTTTCGGAAAGGAATCGTTCTATTTACAGAGTTTGATATTAAAACGTTCTTTTCAGACATTCTGTAATAACATCATATGCACACAGATTTACAAAAACAGTTTATCGGACGGTAAAAATTGATTTGAATCGGGAGTTGAATACCTGACAAGTCGTGAATCGTTATAGTTTACAATAAAAACAAATATTCAAAATCTCCCTTTTTTTTAAACTAACTATCGTCGGGAGCTAAGCAGATGCCATCCAGAATAATGCAGGTCTTTTCATAGAAGATCTCTTATAATTGCAAGAGCCTGAACCTTTTGTATTGAATTGTCTGGGAGAAAGATTTTAAAAGCTGATATCTGGATTTCATCGCAATAGGTAAATTTAGACTGATTGATTGCCTATTTGTCATGATCATTAACTAGGAATCCAGGCGTTAATTTAGCTAAAGAAAGGCTGCGGAATATATCAATTGAATTGTTTGGGTGCATATGATCTTGAATAAAGTTCATCGCGTGCTCCACGTTTAAATCATTGCAAGAATATTCAATAAAGTTTATTCATTGAACAGTGAAAAGAAATGAATAATGTTTCTATGATGAGTTTATTCATCAATTCAAGCATTGATTTTGTTATTGAATAATTAAGACAGATCTAATCATTTATCTTACCTCCTATACATTTCTGGGAATGTGATTGGTTGAAAGCAACCGCGTGGAGACCGTGTATATTTCATATTAGGTCAGTGACGGGGCTTATTTCAATACACAGTTAGTAGTGGTGTTACGTTCCTTTATAGAAATAACACGGTGTTGAGGAAAAATCTGAAAGGTTTCAACATACGAAGAACGATTGAAATAAATTCATAAAACACATTTAAAGCTAACAAGTATTGTTATTAGATATAGGAAGATGTGGTATGAGTGCCCATGAGACAACTCTTCATCCAAGTCACAATTATAAAGTAAACCATTATAGGTCAAGGTACGGTCTTCAACACGGAGCCTTGGCTCACACCGAACAGCAACCTATAAAGGGCCCCAAAAAATTACTAGTGTAAAACCATTCAAATGAGAAAACCAACGGTCTAATCTATACAAAAAACGAGAAACACTTATGAACCACATAAACAAACGACAACTACTGAACATCAGATTCCTGACTAAGGACAGGTGCAAACAATTGCAGCGGGATTAAACGTTTTAATGGTACCAAACCTTCTCCCTTATCTGAAACAATGGTGTAACATCACAACATAGAAAGACACACTATAAAATATCAATTGGAATGGCTTAACTCAATCGAAAAACGTTGTAACACAAATTAACACACAATGAACGAATAAATTTGATCTATAATGATACAATGTAAATACAAAGTTAATAAAAATAAGGGATGAATGATTAAAGTAAAAGTATTATACCGCTATGAAATGTTAAGCAATTTCAAAAAACATCAACTTTGAAAAAAAAAAAGAAGGTTATACACAGGTAAATGAAAATAATTTTGTTGTTAAGTATACTTCTTCTTCTGTCTGTATAATCTTCCGTTTAGGAATACCAAGAAATTTCTTGAATATCAATAAAACTAATCTAAAACTTGGTACATGTGGGGTGAATATCAACAATAAAACTATAAAATTGGTGCTCGATAAAACTTTGTGTTCTTCATGTAACAAATGGAAGTTTTTAACGACCTTGACTCTCTATACAGCTCTTGCACGGTCGGTTCTTCATGTAAAGGTCCGGAACAGTATAAAAGGAGAAAGGAAATAATTGTGATGTCCATAGTACGAAGAAGTGCAAATTTGTAGTAATTACAAACAATCAAAGCTGGTATATACATGTTAACATTAAATAACAAAAAAGCATTACAAATAGTATCAACTGGTCAAATTATCAAAGAAAGTACGATTTGAGATTTGACGCAGTTACTGACAGCTAGTTCAAAGCCAAAACAATTAATAATAAAAAATCATGCATCAGAGACTAAAATCAACTAAAACATATCCCAGGGATTTAGTATTTTAACGTCATGGACAGTCAAAGAAGACATGACTTGTGCAATGCCAAAAATAAATGTATCGACAGGCAGTAGGATAGTTAGGTTTTGTTGACATTTGTTTTTGTATAGACCAAAGGAAGTAGGTTCTTAATACTGAGTATTGAAGACGTAATCACTTTGATAGGCCACTAGTCTAAATACTACATGTTAAGATAGTCGGTAAGATAAATTCATTACACAGCGTGCTAGTGACCTAGCTTCGCTCTCACCTCATATGGAATATTCTGACCCCATATAGTTCGTATTAGGTCACTAGCACACTATGTAACGAATAGTATTGAACAATTAAGGTCCGATAACCTATCGATAATTACATTTTGAATATATTCGTTATATGCATACTGATTGATATTTTAGCCAGGGAATAGCCATTTTCAGAATTTATAATAGCTATCAGTAACTGCTTGTACTCTATGTTCGGTAGTTTTTATGTAGTCCCTTTGTTAGATGGTTTTTTTTTTGTGTGTTTGTGGCGAATTGATGAGTTAAGCGCTTTTTAACAGATTTCTTCTCTTTGTTCTAATATTGTGCTGTTACACCACTTTCAAATGTATGGGAAGAGTTGAGCACTCGTAAAACAGTTTGATCCCGCCACAGTTTGTATATACCCGTCCGAAAAAAGTAAAATCACAAAAATACTGAACTCCGAGGAAAATTCAAAACGGAAAGTCCCTAATCAAATACCAAAATCAAAAGCACAAACACATCAAACGAATGTCAGGAGCCTGTAATTTAGTTTATGGTTGGTTGCTGTCTATCATATTTATTTTTATCATAATTGTGGACATAAATCAGGTCATTGTTTTTCTCGTATGAATAGTTTACATTTAGTTATGTCGGGACCTTTTAATGCTTTTCAGATAAAAGTCTTCAAAACAAGATAACAAAGACTGCAAAATGAACTAAACCTAAAACATAGGGTGATCGCATGTACTCCGGAAGGTAATAAAACCTGCTCAACATATGGCGCCCGTCGTGTTGCTCGTGTAAGAATGTTGGTGCTAAGTCTAATTCGGTAACTTTCGATTTATAGAAAGCGGGATTATGGTCATGACAATCGGAAAATATCGATGAAATAGATATTCCAAAACGGTCAACCAAATCGTGATGCCGTTAGTCAAATGATCAACAATTTACTTCAACTTCACCAATTGGAGCCCCTGGTTTCATTCTTGTTTGTTAGTAGTAACAAATATGCTGTCAATCAAGAAATAAAACATCTTGAAAACGTCAGTTTCTGAAAACGTTTTGTTTGAATCTGAGTGGTAGTTGTTTTACAAAAAAAATATTAATCCCTCCATTAAATAAGATATATGTACCTACCTGTACTTTGCCCATACTCTTTTATGACACAAAGTAGCAAATATGTTTTTTCAATTTATCTTGTAATTTGAAATTTTAGTATTCAAAAACTGATTCACCCCCCTCCCTAGCTTATGTATTTTCACAAGAACTCTAAAACCCCGTTATTATTGCTGATAAAGTTAAAATTGATGTTATTAGTTTAGAAAAAGGTTACATGGAACATTTTGAGGACCAATCAATATGACGATGTTTTAAAGACACTCATGTGATTTAGATATCGAAAAAAAAGTGTTTGTAAAAGTACCGAACCCCGGGGTAAATTTAAAAAGCTGTGAACTCCATAAACCTGACAAAAATACTCGGCTATATCAACCAACGGTAGAAATGGAAAGAACTGAAATATTTCTGACTTTGTACAGTCATTTTCTGAACAAAAAAGTGAGTTAAACCTGGTTTTACAGCTGGCTAAACCTACAACTTGAATGACAGTTGTTGATAGTTATATCGACAATATATGGTGCGCAACAAAACAGACTTTATTGGTTCACGTGATGGAAGATCAGTACATCATCATTGCCTAAAATTCCAGATGAATATAGAACAGACGTATGATTTTTTAGTACAAGTATATCCTCTTTGGTAAGTGTCGTGTGGGTATACGTTGAGTATCCAATTGAATTGTAATAACTAATTCCTTAATCAAGTAGTTTATGTAATGTTATTTACACACAATATCAATGTTTCGAACTTTATCTGCGAGGATAACAATACATTGTCATGGAGGAAGGACAGGTCCTTAGCAACACATGGATCTTTAAAATCAATATAGCATGTGTATTCATAGAACCCTTCAGTTTTTTCATTCTGATTTGTTTCAACGACCATATAGGTTGCACTTTGTAAATACAGCTGTTTCTCAAACCACGCCTCTTTTGGGGAGATTTAGAATATTCATAGAAAATTAATTTTGTTTACATACTGGTTCCCAGTTATGCTCTCTGTGTTCCATCTCATAGAGACATAACTAGGGAATGTTACCAGTAAATATACATGTGCATATTGTTTACATTGAAATCTGTGGTAACCCTTCATTCGAGGTAGGGGTAGTTAAGAAAATTAGTGTTAGTTTAAACTCTGAAAAGTTCAGGGCATATAAACGTTGAAAATATGCCGCACAGCCCTATATTTTGACCTTTGAAAACAATTGTAGTGCATATGAACTTTCAATTCTAGGATAAGATTTTGTTCAAAACTTCATAGTAAAAGTGGTACAGTTTTAGCCGTAAAAGGAGTTCCTATGGGAAATTGCATTGTCAATTTTTACAGAAATGCAACCTATAGCCATAACCTATTCAGAAAGAGTATGTACGTCTTCTTTTTCTTTCGCGTTTAGCCCATTGCCTAGCATAATTCTCTACTAAATTCATCATATTTTAAAGTTGTTTCCAATTTTTTCTAAATTGATGGTGTTACGCTAGAAAATATTGCAAAGTGTAATTTATGTGTTGAAAATAAACTTTCAATTGCTAAATGGGTCTAAACGCTAAGGTATAACAATAGTTGCGTATATCTACTTTTGTCACAACCCGTGTTCATAGGAGATATATTTATTGTGGAATCGAATCCCAAAGTTTTGTAATAAGAGATGAACTCATGTTCTGTAGTCCTTTTCTTTGTAACTTTTGAGCCGATTATTTTCCATGGACAGTTAGTATGAGAAGACAGATGCCAATGATATGTACCGAACAACTAGTCAAATAAAAAAATCAAATATGTGTATGCTTCAATCGTGTGAACTGTTCTATAAAATCAATAAGTTGTATATTGACTGATACATAAAATCAAAATAAACCGGTTACGCAAACAGAAAGCTTACCGTTAGTACAGCTTCCACACGACTGTTCTTCATATTTATCTTTAAAATACTGCTGCCTTGTTATATTACAAGACTGCAAGCATTCATCAAAAGATACTTGACGATTTGGAGCTTTTTCACAGCAAATTGGTTTTATTCTGTGTCTTACACCTCCGCAAGTGGAATTACATGCTGTCCAAGCTATCCAAGGAAATGATTCGCATACATTCAGTCCTCTCTGGCAACTTTGTTCGGCTTTCACTAAGGAGATATATAAAAATATGAAGCTACAAAAAAATGTAACTTAATCATTCCTTAAAGTGTTGAAAAATAATGCCGATGTATTAATGTTAACTAAAATGAAGTTCTTATAAAAAAAATGGTCGTGATTTTCATCAATTTATTTTACAAAATATTTTAGTACTTATGAAAATCACCGATCTATTGGGATAAGTATG